AATTGGGGGTTAACGATAATTTGGGCTGGCATCAGAGTATGATATGGAACTGATCGTGTGAGTGGGAGGAGATGAGAGCCTACGACTGATCGGGGGGAGGGCTACAGCTGACAGCAGAGAACAAGGTGAAATGGAAATGTCCGGCTTAAGCCCCATACCCAACTCGGAACCCAAGGGAACAAAAGTAATAATAAAAATAATATGACTTCAAAATAATGAAATATCCTGTGAAATTATATTTTATACGAAAACTTATACACTGTTTGATACAGTTGACACAGTTTCAGTTAGTGATAAACATTGAAATGCATGGATTTTTAACTTTAACAACAAATTAAATATTTGTGAGTGTAGTTATTTAAAAAGGCTGGTTTTAACTGATCAAGTGAATTGTGACAGTCATTCGTTTCACCTGAATATTCATTGAGAGGAAAAAATAACAGCGTCATCTATAAACAACATTTGTTTCGGTAAGCGTCATACCAGTCACATTTTTTTCTCGTTAAACAAGCTGATGAGATCAGAGGTGTGAAAATTAATTGAAGTCACTAGATGATAAATGATAACTAGGAGGGAATGTTTACTTTTGATTGCACACTAGTCAGTAACTAGTATAATGTGTCTAGTCCTATCTTCGCTGCAGACTGAATTTTATCAGTCAAGCTTGCAATGTGGCCACCATGCTAGGTGACTCGCCATTACGGTGCACTGTAAATTGTTGGTATTAGATGGTTGGAGGCAATCGACAGGAAGCCTTGGACCTAGGTTTCGCGCTAGTTGGCACTCATCAGCAAGGCGTATCTGCAACGACTAGTCAAGGCTTCCTGCCGATTGCCTCCAACCATCCAATAGGGAATGTTTACGCATTACTTTTCAGTAATGGAGAAAACACAAAAAAATCAGCAGTGATTTAAGCCTAAGCATAACACTTTGTGCCACTGTGACATGTATTGGTAGAAGTTAGAATTCATTGGCTGGTAATTGGACCGGGTCCCAATGGCTGAGTGAATGGTGCTCTACGAGGTCGCCTTGTAACCAGAAGGTTCTGGGTTCGAACCTCAGTAGGTACGTGCTGTCCAGTTCTCCCTACTGGTTTCCAGTGGTTCCCTAACCGATGTGAACTCGTTATTAAAACCTGTAACCAATCAAATCCCTGCAAAATATTACTGTTCGCCACTGGATAAGGAATATTCGATATGACGAACAGTTTTTATTTCCAATTATTAGTTTTGTAGGGATTTTTTTGATTGCATGGAGGATTCCATCATGAGCTGACATCATTTGGAGAACCACTGGAAAACCTGGGAGTACTGGACAGCTGCTTCGTCCTAGTTTGGTACTCTTCAGCAGTACGCACTCACCGGGATTCGAAACCAGGACCTTCTGGTTATAAGGCGAGCTCGTAGACCATTGAGCCACTGGAACCCAATCCAATGGTCCTTGAATTCTAACTTCTGCCAATTCACGACATAGCGCAATGTCTTCTTCGATGATTTTGTGCCTCATCTTCAACCTTCTGTACCCTACTGGTCACGGCTTCTCACTAGAACCCCAGGTTAACTGCCTGAATAGGGCCAGTCACTAGTGAGCATCAGATTAATTTTCAAGTATTGGTTTTGTAGGGATTTTGTTTGATTGCATGGAGGATTTCATCATGAGCTGACATCAGTTTTTATTTACCCAAGTATACGTTATCTCAACAATTAGTGCTTTGCTCCTTATGCCTGTAGTTCTAATGAGGTGATGCTTTCAAACAGACTATTGAATAGCTGTCTATCTTTTTACACTGAAACCTGTGACCACGTCTAACAGCTCACCATCGATGGTTTGATACAAACAAAGTCTTCTTCTAAGATTACAAAAATATTTTTTACACACTTCAGTTGTGCAAAACACCTACCATGTCCAGTAGTAGTTCATCACAAGCGTAATGTAACTAGTTAAACAGGTTTCTTATTTAAGAAATTCGAAGCTTTCTTCTGGACAGTTTTCACTATCAACACTGAGATTCTTGTCAATAAAAATAGGCAAGGTAGTGGTTTCAGGATAGAGCCAGTATGCCTAGCTGGGTAACTAGACTGATCATTGATAAACGCAATGTAATCAAAATACTTTAACAACACACAAAGTATGAGGTTTGAAAGATTTAAGCCAACTTCCCTCAAAATCACTCTCGTTTTCAGGATGACATGGAGACAGAGAGAGATAGGAAGTCTTATTTATGTCCAGTAAAATTCAGAAACCTGGTTCTGTGGGTGTCGTCTGTCTTCACATATCGAAATGTCCAAGGTAAACGGTTATATCGAGTAGCGAAATGAGAGACTTTGGAATGACAGGATTGAAAATAAATATAGTTTATAGACCGCAACTGATACCATTTCAGCAGAAAGCGGTAGGATATCTCTGGACATAACATCTTTATTCACAAATGTACCTCTGGTAGAAACAGTTAACTGCATATGTGAACAAGTGAATAACCAGTCGACAAACATTAGCATCCGTACTGAAATCCTCAAAGAATTGTTATTAGGGTATACCATGAATGTAAATTTCAAATTTGATGTGACACTCTACAGACAAATGGACGGAGTGGAGATGGGCTCCCCATTTCCACTGATTTCTTTCTCAGTAAACTAGAAAGTGGACCTTTGAACAACCTTATCAGAAAGTTCTCATTTTATTGCCGGTATATGGATGACACCTTCATTCTTTGTGAAAATGATTCGGATAGGAGTACAATAATAACTGAATTCAATGAAGTACGTTCTGCTAAGAAATTCACGTGCAAAGAGAAATTCCAAAACAGAATTGCCTTCCTGGATGTCCTCATTGCAAGAAAACCAGATGGTAGCATAAAAATAAATTTGCATGGAAAAAGTACATGGACAGGATCATATAAACATTTTCATAGCTTCATTCTTCTCAAGTACAGAAGAAATCTAGTAAGGACCCTCACTCAGCCACAGGGTTACAGCTTTATGCTGAGAAGAAGTAACTGAAGATAAATTAAACATTGCATATGATACTTTGATTGAAAATAGCTATCCCGACAAATGTATCAAGAAACGCATAACAAAGAAAGCGGAAAAGTACTACTCACTATCCGTAAACAAGAAGCCTTTATATATACAACTGCAATTCAAGGGTGATATACTTGGCAAAATGATTACAAAGAAGTAAAGAAAACCAGTTCAAAGAACTTTTAATGCTGGCGAACTACACGTCTTATTCTCTGCACGACCGATGTTGATTCCTCGACTGAAAGATGAAGTACCCAGACTAACCACTCCTAATTGTGTCTACCAATTCAGCTGCGCTTGCGGAGCGAATTACATTGGCCGTTGCTCTAGGAACTTGATTTTTCGTGCTCGAGAACATCTCCCACTATGGCTAAGTAAAGGTGTAGTGAAAACCATCAACAGTTCGATATTGAACCATCTGCTGCAAACCGGCTACAAAGCCAGCGTGGAAGAATCCTTCTCTATCATCTACCGGGTGCCAAATAAATTGCCAAAAACATTGAGGTACCGTACGCTCCAGGCAGTAGAGGCTATCGCGATTCGCGTAAAATAACCAGTGCTTTGTGTGTAGAAGAAGCAAGTCCAGCCACTACTACTGCCCTAGCCAGCCTTCAGTAGAGACTACAAGTTCATGAATTTGTCTTTTTTTCTCCTGATTTTTCTGATATTCAGTTTATTGCTATGTTGATGCTATTGAACTGTAATCCATTGATATTATTGATTCGATGTTGTTTAAACAACGTTACTGTTCTTAATAACGCTAGTTCATTCAACATTATGTATATAAAACCGTAGAGCCTGATGATGACGTTATCGAAAAGAGTATTCTTTGTTTAAGGAAAACTTGTTATTGACGAAATTTACCAACTAATAAAAAGTAAATCATATGACAAGAAAGTTCAAATTCCAAATCAGTAAAGATGATCAATAGAGATGTAAATCATGACAGTGGTTTCCAGGAGACACAATTCTACCATTCATGGAGTCCACCTTATACTAAAACGTATGCTGAAGATGTTATTTACAAGGACGGCGAAAGCCTCTCAATTAAGCCATCAACCAGCTCAGAGAAAACAACTAATTCAATGTCACCATAGTTTTAGGGGAGGGAATTTAAACAAATGTCCTTGAAAAAGGCAATAAATACAGTTTTTCTTTCAAAAGACAATGGGAATATGAAAGTATTCATATATGATAATATACAATCATAAATAATATCTAATTTATGACTTGAATCGGTAAACTGGTATACTAACTGCAAATACCTTATATTCATGTAACTGCCTCATCTATATGCACAAGTCCTAAGACCTCAGGTTTTACAGAATACCGAAAATTCAGGCGAAAATGTTTCAGGAATTTTCCAGTCCTAAATTATGCGGCAATATTTAAGATCTACCATATTATTAGGCAATGAATGTTTGACTAAAGGCCCTTTCAAGTTAGGATATTTCTCACAAAGCATACCCCATGAAAATGAGATAGAATGATGCAAATAATCTGCTGGATGGTAATTAGCAGTGGATGGAAACCAGAATGTGCATTTCGTCCTATTTGGGACCCGTCAGTAAGGGGGATGTACCTGCACTCCTCAGTAAGTGAGTGAGTGAGTGATGGTGTTCCCCCCACTGAGACTCGAACCAAGTACCCAGCGTTGTCCTCTAGACCACTTGGGCCACGACAGCCACCTCTTGTTGTCATCCACCAAATTACTCCAGGTTAAATCATCTGGCATCATAGCAGCATCCGGACAAGGAGCCGACATGTTAACCCGGGGCCGAGTACTCCAGTCCAATCAATCCATCAACGGGAAAGTTCAGATTGAATTAGAGAATAATGAAAGTGTTTGAACAAATCACTATTAGTCCAAAGAGTCGACTTCTTACTGTTTAAGAAGAGTTGCCACCAATTCCTGACAAAAAACTCATACAGGCAAAATCAACTAGCATCAACCGAGATTCGTAAAATATATTTATATTGCACAGTGACAAAATTAAGGAATGCTCCTGCTCTTTATTATAAAAACAAAGAAGAGCTGTGTTCCCAAGCATTTAAGACGTCGAACAGTTACAGTGTGTGTGTGTGTGTGTGAATCGCTTTCAAATACCTTGCTCTTCACCAATAATAGTCTGGTTGAAAGTTACACTTGAATGACTGCTAATTTTTCCACTGGCTGTGTCATTTCGCCTGAATGACGGTGTCTGCTTACTGGTGTGGGAAACAGTTTCCAAGGTATAATTATTGTCTTCTGCATCGTCGTCTAGCAACTTTTGCTCTTGAAAACTGGTATTATTACTTCGGTTCGACGACCGCATTGTCCCGTATTTCGATCGTACTGTTGAATTGGGATTCAATAATTCTGTTGGATAGACAGTGTGAATACTGTCGTTCTGGTAGATGTCCAGATGATCTTTTGAGTATTGATATACTGGAGGTAGACTTCCCATTTGATAGCTGTTAGGCCATTGCATGAAAAATACTGAACCCATAGAAGGATCTATACGTCAAGTTAAAATATCCAACAATGAATAGATTATTAGGAAATTTAATGACAAGCAAAAAAACACATTAAAAACGATAATATACTTACTAACTTATTTTTTCATATATGAGTATTCAGATTCGGCTTAGGATAAAAACTCTGAGGTTTTATTGAAGTTCATCTGACAGTCATATGTATGTACTCGTAAATACTATAAACTTCATAGACCTAAAGTTGAAAAAAAACTACCTAGAGATTGTTTCTAGGAATTTGATTTCTTTCAAGTTGGAAAACAGAGTGATGTCAGTTAGAGAACCATTGGAAACCAGTAGGAAGTACTGGACAGGTGTTTCGTCCAAGTTCGGAACTTACCGACAGTACGCAACTCCTGGGAATCCATCTAATGACCCATGAATTCTAACTCCTATCACTCTGTAATTTTATCACTACCATCAGGCGCCAATATCATCGGCGAGTATTTTTCTTCAATTCCGAAATCCTGTAGGTAAGTCCCACACTAGGACGAAACGTCTGTCTAGTACTTCGCATAGGTTCTCAATGGTTCTCTATTATTATATTATTATTGTTCCCTTGGGTTCCTAGTGGAACATAGGGCTTCAACTGCACGTCTCCACTTGTTTCTGTCTTCTGCCGTACTTTTCACCTGCATCCATGTTAATCCATACTGTTTCCACTCCATTTCACACGATCTCCTCCATGTCACCTTTGGACGTCCCACTCACCACTTCCCTTTCAGGTTCCACTCGAGGGCCTGACGCCCGATGTCACCCAGCGGCGGCCTCCTCAGCGAGTGTCCAATCCATCTCCACTTTCTCGTGCATATTTGTTGAGGGATTGGTTCTTGTTTTGTTTGCTCCCATAGTTTCTTGTTGGTGATTCTTTCCGGCCATCTGATCTTCAGTATAGAGCGAAGACACTTGTTGATAAAGGTCCGCAACCGGTTGGAAATTTTCGCTCTTTGTGACCCGCCAAGTTCCTGATCCCTATAGAAGAACTGACTGACTTGACGTTTGTATTGAAAATCCGAATTTTGTTGTTGATGCTGAGTGTCGAAGATTTCCAGATTGGTTTCAGGTGGATGAATGTGTTTCTCGCCTTCCCGATTCTCGATTTGACATCTTCGTCCGTTCCTCCTGTAGTTGAGACAATGCCCCCTAGATAAGTGAATGAGGTAACCTCTTTCAAATCTCTCCCGTTGATGGTGACTGGCACTGGATGTTGCCTAGATTACTAGCTCACTAGTTTTCTAGCCGGTCCCAAGCCCGGATAAAGAGGGAGGGTTAGGGCGTGGTGCTAGCAACTGCACCCCCAAAACTCAACCAAATTGCTACAGAAACTTCAATGGTTCTCTAACCGATATCAATCCGTGATAGAACTTAAAACTATCACTTGCTCACATTTAAAAATGTGGAAGTGCCTAATATCTGCACGTGTTCAGTGTTTTCCTCACGCAGCTTCAATAAAGAAGCAGGATAATTCAAGAATTTTTGCGTTGAAACGAAAGATACAAAATAGCGCTTACAAGGGACTTCCATTTGTTATCTAAACTACACATAGTCCGGTCAATCAGCGATTGTTATTTCGTATTATATACGATTACTTCCAATGATTATGAGCAATAAGTTTTGCTCGAAACGTTGTCCAGTTACTAATACTTTATCCCTGTGTATTAAATCGAACAAACGGGTGAACCGAGAGAATACCGACCACGGAATGCAAACGCACCAATGATGCTGAACGCTTACTATTCGTCGGATGACAAAACTTGCCATGGATACTATACAAAACGCCATTTACTTACAAGAAAAATTGACATACTAATAGTGAAACAAACTAAAGACAATATTTTACCTTGATTTAACCGAGAAACAATTCCCAACTACAATGAAGGGAATCACTTTTCAAATTTCCCAGCTATCAGAACGGTTTCGTCGATATGAACAATGAAATACTCTCCTTTTTGCATACATTTATCTATCTAGTCTTTGCTGTAACTGTAACCCTAATACTTAGCCTAACGCTGACGCTTAACCCTAATTCTAACTTGCTATCACTCCACTGTCCAAGCAATACTTGAAAATGAGATCAGGCTGAAATTTGCACCTCAATTCGCGCAAAGCTTTCATACTGGAGCTTTAATCCAAGCAGGTTCTGTAATTCAATGAACAACACGTATTCAAGGTTATTGATGCGTTCGCACTCCGTCGTCACTATTCTTTAGGTTGGCCAGTATGGAATCTGATATGGAATTACATCCTGTCACAATGCTCAAGTTCTACGCTTTAGGAGATTGTGGTTATGGCAATTAGAAATTTAAAAAAAAACAGTTAGTTTGATGAACTGTACATGAGGAATAGTAATGCTTGGACAAATATCAATAATATCAGTGGCTATCGTTTGTCATATGGTGTGATAAACTTCCAGTTGCATGTACCTATCTGTGTGTACAATCTACAGCATATACACCCGTAGGATAGAAAGAAGGATTTGTGTCTGCATATCTAAACACATTCCGAGAAATATGCGTCTGAAAAATGTAAAAGTTTTTAGCAGTTCGACTGCACAGCACTTGTTAAACAGTCGTCATCAAATTGATGCAATAAAAGCCCTTAAGTAAAATTCAAGACGACTTCAGATTGATACATATGGATGGAGTGATTACCTGTAAACGATTAAAACAGAATTTAAGCATCCGGAAGGAAACTGCTGTTCGTCTAGCCTTACCAGGGGAAATATACCTCACGTTATTTAGGTTTTTAAGATTTTAATTATATTTCGACTTTACAATGTGATTTTCTATTCTTAACTTTATCTATATCTGTCTTCGCGACAGGAATACTTTTGACCGGTGTTTAACTCAATTATTTGACTCTTACATAAGTTTTTGCGCTGTTGATTTTACCCCTTTATTCAAGTTATAACATTTGTTGGTAATTTTACAGTAGGCCTTAATTACTCCTATGCATACTGACAAGCGTAACAACGACTTTTGCGCGTTTGGTTGATGATAGTTGATCACGTGATATTAAATATCCTTCACCTTTATGGTCAATAACTAGTGTATATGAATATTTTCGTGCGTCGGTGGCATAGTGGTTAGGACGCTCGCCGACCATGCATATGGTCCGGGGTTCGATCCACGGCCGACGCACTCCTTTACCTCGCTAAACCAGAAATAATGCTGGTGAAGAAGAAAGGTTGGACATGAGGCTAGCAACCCCATCCTGTTATATAAGCACTGCTACAGAAACTTCAAGCCACTAGCTTGAAGCCCTATGTTCCACTGGGGAACGTGAAGGAAAAAAAAATAAATATTTTCTGCATCGATATTGCAATTATTCATGAGTATATGCTTTCGAAGTGCATACAGGAGTAAGACAAGCTGGCTGCTTATATCACCGATGCTATTCTTAATTATGGTGGACTGGATTGTGCGTCAGAATTTGGAGAGAGAGAGGAGACAGGAATACGCTGGACCACCGATAAGAAGACTCTGGAATATCTGGATTTCACAGATGGCATATTTTTAATGTCACACAAACTCAAAGACTTCGAGGCAGGCGAAAACCAACAAACTGGCTGAAAAAGCAGCCAGAGAAGATGGGACTGCAGATGAACATAGAGAAGACGGAGGTGATGAAGATAACCAACGAACCGAAACAACAGCAGCAACAACCAGCACCAATCACCATAAACAGGAGAGATTTAGCAGAGGTTACTGCCCTCACTTATTTAGGAAGCATCGTTTCAACTACAGGCAGGCGGAACGGATGAAGATGTAAAAGCCAGTCAGAATCGGAAAGGCAAGGTACGCCTTCATCTGTTCTCGTGCAGCATAAGGAACAAGATTCGGAATTTACACACCAATGTGAAGTCGGTTCTTCTATACGGGTCAGAAACTTGGCTAGAGTGTCAAGAAAAGGATTTCCAACAGGTTGCAGACTTTCATCGACAGCTGCCCACTTCGCTGACTCCATATTGAAGGTCGAACGGTCAGAAAGAGTTAGTGACAAGAAACTCTGCAGTGGGACAAACCAACTAAGAGCTGATCGCTTAACAAATATGTAGGAGAAAATGCAGATGGATTGATCGGGCACACATTGAGGAGGCCGTCGAATGACATTGCGCGTCACGCCATCGAGTGGAATCCCAGTGCGAAGATACAAGTGGGTCATTCTAGGGTGACATGGAGGAATCCGTGTGAGAAGATGAGAGATTGTGGGCAATCGTCGTCCAAGCTGAAAAGGACGGCAGAAAATAGGACAGAACGGATTGTGTTGTTGAAGCCTTATGTTCCACTCGGAACTCAAGGGAACAATAATAATAATAAGTAACTGATAAGAACTAACGAAATACATAATGTCTTCATTTTATCCTGCTGAGTGTGTCATCTTCCCTGATTTTTCCGAATTTCAGTAAGTTAGATTGATTGGCGTAACACGGATAAGTTGTGAAGATGACATGGAAATCTAGTTTGGCGCAGAATTCTAGCCAATGGTGCATAGATTATTATTATTATTATTGTTCCCTTGGGTTCCTAGTGGACCATAGGGCTTCAACTGCACGTCTCCACTTGCTTCTGTTTCCCGCCGTACTTTCACCTGCATCTATGTTAGTCCATACTGTTTCAACTCCTCTTCACACGATCTCCTCCATGTCACACTTGCACCGGCGAATCACTCGCCGCTTACCTTTCGGCTCCCACTCGAGGGCTGACGCGCGATGTCACCCAGCGGCGGCCTCCTCAGCGAGTGTCCAATCCATCTCCACTTTCTCGTGCATATTTCTTGGGCGATTGGTTCTTGTTTTGTTTGCTCCCATAGTTTCTTGTTGGTGATTCTTTCCGGCCATCTGATCTTCAGTATAGAGCGAAGACAGCTGTTGATTAAGGTCTGCAACCTGTTGGAAATATTCCTGGTGACACACTGGCCAAGTTTCTGATCCCTATAGAAGAACTGACTGACTTGACGTTTGTATTGAAAATCCGAATTTTG